CTCTCAGATGGGCGCAGTGGTGCACACTCATAATCCCAGCAACTCAGGAGGCTAAGGAAAGAGGATCACAAATTCAAAACCAGCCTGGGCAACTTAGAGAAATTCTATCTCAAATTTAAAAATAAAAAAGGATTGGTGGGAGGATTAAATGAACTTTGGATAGGGCAAAGGAGAAAAGGGAGGGAGGGGAAGGGTGGGGGCATAGGAGGAAAGACGGTGGAAAGCGATGGTCATCATTGCCCTAAGTACATGTATGAAGACACAAAGGATGTGTGTCCTCTGGACATTCATATGGATGCAAAATCTGCTTCTAATGTTCAGTGCCTAAAAAGTAACAAGATATTTTGGTATTGGCCAGCTGTGGTGGCGAACATCTATAATCCCAGCATCTCGGGAGGCTGAGGCAGGAGATTGCAAGTTCAAAGCCAGCCTCAGCAACTTTGTGAGACTCTAAGCAATTCAGAGAGACCCTGTTTCTAAATAAAATACCAAAAAGGCTAGAGATGTGACTCAGTAGTTAAGAACCCCTAGATTCAATCTCAGGTACCAAAAAAAAAAAAAAGAAGATATTTTGGTATTATGACATGTAAATTTACATGGAAGTTGAGGGAAGACTGCCATTTATTTTATTTTTATTTTTTGATACCGGGGATTGAACTCAGGGGCACTCAACCACTGAGTCACATCCCCAGCCCTATTTTGTATTTTATTTAGAGACAGAGTTTCACTGAGTTGCTTAGTGCCTCACCATTGCTGAAGCTGGCTTTGAACTCCTGATCCTTCTGTCTCAGCCTCCCAAGCTGTTGGAATTACAGGTATGAGACACCACTCTCGGCAAGACTGTCATTTATTTTGTGGGGAACTTTACCAAGTTGTTGACCATTTTGGAAATGGTGGCTAGGACACTCTTGGTGTTTTTGAATTATCAAAACATTACATCTTGGGCTGGGGTTGTTGCTCAGTGGTATACCACTCATCTAGTACGTGTAGGGCCCTGGGTTCCGATCCTCAGCACCACATAAAAATAAATAAATAAAATAAAGGTATTGAGTCCAACTGAACCTAAAAAAAATTAAAAAAAAATCACATCTTGATCAATGGGCCTCTTAGTAGTTCCATTAATGGGGATTCTACACCTAGGCTATTCATTGAATGACTTCTGTACATCTTCCAATGGCACTGTGCCTGAGCATTTACACATTGACAAAGACACCATTACTTTCAGTTCTCCTTCATAGTTAGGAATTATATTTATTTTTTTTCTTTGGGTTTGGGTTCCATATCAGGAATACAGAAAGGACATTGCAAATATTTATTCATACAAAATGTCGCCTTCCAGGAGTTGGGAGCAATAGCTCCCATTTTGACAACATGCTTAATCCTCTCTTTCTTGATTAATCAACTTTAAACAATATCTACTGGTACCCTGACATGAAAGATGAGGATTATGTCACTTATATTATCCCTCCTCCCAAATCCCCATTCCTTTTCCCATCAAATTTTGGCAGTATCTTCTGCCTCCTCACTTGAGAGTCGAAGGACATTAATGAGTGCTGCCTATTAAACATTTTTGTGCTTCTTTTTTTCCAGAACAGTTTTAGGTTCATAGCAAACGTGAGCAGAGTACAGAGTTCTCATGGGCCCCCAACCTCCACACCAGCACTGCCCACCCCCCACTATCAATATCCCACACCAGAAGTGCCATTTGTTAAATCATTATTATCTAGTGTCCTCAGTTGCTGCTGTACATTCTGTAGGTTTTGGCAAATGTACAATGACATGTGTCTGCAAAACTACAGAATAGTTTCACCGCCTTAAAAAATCCTCTCGGCTCTGCCTATTCATCCCCTTCTCCCCACACCCCTGCAATCACTGACCTGTGAGGCCACTTTTGCTCATACTCTCCCGTATCCTGCTTGGTGTCAGCCATACTTTTATATTGTCAAGGTTTGCTAACATTTTCATGTAGTTGTAAACAGAGCTGTCATGACCAAATATTGAAACCCAGTTCACTGATTTTCTGTTAGTTAAGAAGGCAGCCATTTTCTTGAGAGACAAGAGGAAGATATAAAAGAAAAAAAAATGTCTGATGTGCAGAGTAAGTAATTAGAGTAAGCGAGAGGCAGAGGGATTTTTTTTAAAAGGCTTCCTTCTATTTTTTTCTTTTTTGTTTTTTAGTTGTAGATGAACACGATACCTTTATTTTATTTATTTATGTGATGCTGAGGATCGAACCCAGTGCCTCATACATGCAAGGCAAGAGCTCTACCACTGAGCCACAGCCACAGCCCCACAGAGGGATTTTTAACAATCAAACATCAAGCCAGGTTTCTGCTCATACAGAGATTATGCTGGACAGATGAGACCTCTAGGTGCTTATGAAGTAGGAAGGAATGAGACCCACACATGTGATTAAATGTTCCCCGAAAGACTATAGATAATACTGTACCTTAGACTTGCACATTGCTGAGTTTTAATATTTTCACTATACATACGCACACAAAATGATAACTAGATGAGGTGATGAATATGTTAGCTCAATTGTGGTAATCATTTCACAATGTATACACACATCAAAACGTGTTATACATGGTAAAAATATACAATTTTAATTCATCAGTTATATTTCAACAATGCTGGAAGTAAAACATTGGAACAGACAAAATGTACACTTATGGTTCATAATTATTCTGTACTCCTTAGAAGAGACACTGAAGTTCAGTTAAATGTCAAATTTCAAGAAAAATCTGTTGAATATGATTTTTATTTGTAGTTTAAAATTAAGCTGGGTGCAATGGTGTGTGCCTATTGTTCCATCCACTAAGGAGGCTGATACAGGAGGACCACTTGAGTCTAGAAGACTAGCCTAAGCACCATATTGAGAACCTATCTAAAAAAAAAAAAATCAAGTCAAATTATTAGGAGACTATCTTCATCATGGAGTCAGGTACAAATACATAAACACATATATATTTCTACATATCTTTTCCCGATTATAAAAGTAATACCATCCCCAGCACCAAAGGGAGTAGGCAGAATCTTGTTCATTGTAAGTCTGGGAAAACACAAAAGGATATATATATTTTTAAAAAAACACTTCATTAATCCAATATTCCAAAGATAAACCCTGTTAGTATGTTGGTATAGTTTAGTATTGTAAGGATAGGGTCACTGCTATAACAAATAAGCCTTCAAATACTCAATGACTCAAACATAATAATAGTGTGTTTCTGGGACACAAATGCATCCAGGTCACCTCCAGGTTGTCAATATATGGAAGGAGAGAACACCCCTGTTCCACAAAGTCACTCAGTGACCCAGGCTGACAAAGGCAATTCCACTTTCAGCATATGGATTCCAGAGGTACCTTCAATGTCAGTGTTTCTTTCTAGCTCGGAGAAGAAGAAATTACATAGAATCATGTATGTTGGAGATTTTGTGGGTAAGAACTGGAAATGGTAAATGTCATTTGGGATCTCATTGGTTAGAACTCAATCATGTAGCCCCACCTAACTTAAGGACTCTGGGGTATATATTCTAGCTGTGTAGCCAGACAGAAGAAATGTGTTTGTTGAAAAAATAATAATGCCAGCTAGGTGCAGTGGCACACTCCTGTAATCCCAGCAGCTCAGGAGGCTGAGGCAAGAGGATCCCGAGTTCAAAGCCAGCTTCAGCAACTTAGCGAGGTGCTAAGCAACTCAGTAAGATCCTGTCTCTAAATAAATAAAATACAAAAAAGGTCTGGGGATGTGGATCAGTGGTTATGTGCCTCTGAGTTCAATACCTGGTACCCCCCCAAAAAGAAAAAGAAATAAGGAAAAAATAATAATCTCTACCTCAATGTATTTTCTTTCAGCCATTTTCAATACATATATGAATACAACTAGGATTATAATATATATTTAGCTTTTTTATTTGGCTTAAAAAACCCTACTAGTAGCTGGGCACGGTAGGGCATGCCTGTAATCTCAGCAGCTTGGGAGGCTGAAACAGGAGAATCACAAGTTCAAAGCCAGCCTCAGCAAAAGTGAGGTGCTAAGCAACCCTGTGACACACTGTCTCTAAATAAAAAATAAAAAAGGGATGGGATGTGGCTCAGTGGCTAAGTACCCTTGATTCAATCCCCTGAACAACAACAACAAAAAAAAACCCTCCAAGTTTTTCAGCATTTTCCCACATAATTCTTTGCAAACGAGCTAAAATTATATCCAATTGTATAGATCAGGGATTCTCATGGACATGTGGAGCCAGATAGATCTTTGTTGGGAGAAGGGAGAGGGCTATCTTGTGCACTGTGGTTGTTTAGTGACATCTCTGGCCTCTATGTACTAGATGCCTGTGGTACTTACCCACCTCCCCCATGATGATCAAACTATTTCCAGTTGGTTGAGGTGGTGCATGCCTGTAATCCCAGCTACTCAGGAGGTTAAGGTAGTTCAAAGCCAGTCTGGGCAGCTTAATAAGATCTGGTCTCAAAATTTTAAAAGGTGGAGGAGGGGGTGGCTTATAGTGCTTGCCTAGCATGTGTGAGGCCCTGCAAATAAATCAGCACTGCAAATAAATCAACGAATAAATAAAGAGACTCTCTCTACTGTAAATAAATAAATAAACCATCTCTAGACATTGCTGAATGTCTCAAGGGTGGAGATAGGGAGGGCAAATCACCTTCAGTTGAGAACCACTGAACCAGCTTAACAAAAACTTAATCTGTTTCCTGTCTATTGAGCAATTGTTGCTTTCTTGTTTTATTTTGTTTGCTACTTTATCTTACTCTCTGATGAACACCCTTTCATATTAATTTTGGCTTTAACAGTTGTTATTTACTTAGGAGAGAGTCCCAGAAGAGGGATTATTAGGTCAGAGGCTATGAATATTTTGAAGTCTCTTAATACATACTGCCAAATGGCTTTCCAGAAAGGCTTGACCAATTTACTTACCCACCTGCAGTGCAGCTTGCTTTAATTTATAAAGGTTTGGGCTATTTAATATGATAAAAATTATTATTGCTTTAAGATAGTTTATTTCTTTAAATAACAGTGAAATCAGTATGCTCATTTGCCCATCTTCTGCACACTACTAGTAGCCTTTGTTAATTTCCCAATTGCTGTTCTGTTTTTCTTAAGGATTTTAGGGACAATTGCTTGTTGAAATCAATCCACGAGGCTTCCAAAGTGAGGAAAATTTTCTATTAAAATGTGGCTTTCCTTTGACATTGTGTACACAATTTTTTTTTCTTTTAATCACAGAATCCCATTGTGACTAACTTCAATATTTGGACAGCTGTTCTTTCTTTTCTTTGACTAAAAAAAAAAAAGAAAGAAAAAAAAAATCTAAGACTTCTAGGGAATGACAGAAAGAGGACCAACGGGTTTACTTTCATCTCAGTGCATCAAATCTTCTAGTTCTTGGTTCCAGGGTGGTTCATTGAGGTTGTATCTTGCCAAAATACTATTTCAGACTATCATGCCCAAATCCCATTCTGTCGTTTTCAGGGTCTCCTAAGAGCTTCCTAAAATGTAGGACCCAGTCAAACTGCTCTTCCCTAAACCAGGACTTAGCATGAATTCCTCTTCATCTTCACCTTTTGCAGACAGTCTCAGTTACTGTCATCTGCGGCTGGATTCCTATATACACGTATACTCAGGAATTGTTCAAACGGATTACTTTCCTGTAATAGGAAGACAAAAAGTTAAACCTATGAGCCCTTGCTGTTTTATTACTTCACAAAGATTGGTTAGGAATGATTATTCCCGTGGGATTGTGAAAATGAGCCAGTGATCCGCCTAGCACAAATCTCTGTCCTTTTATGTAAAATATTATTAGGCTTTCTTGAGCTGTGCCTTGATAAAATCTTTCCTAATCCAATAAATTTCAATAGATGAAATGTTTGCTTCCTCCTCCCTTTCTCAGTGCCAAAGCCTCTCTATTATGGATTAAATGTCCCTTAAATGTACTATCTATTGTTACTGTTTATGTAACCCTCTGTTCAAGTATCACGATGTATTTTCAAAACAATAAAGGAACACAACATAAAATATCAGGGGCAAATATCGGGCTCAGAAATGTCACAGAAAGCATTAGCCATACAAAAACGGGAAGGGGTCTCATGGCTTTTCTAATTCCTCTGGAGACAAAAAGATTCTTCGCTAAGGAGACAGAAGGAATTCGAGCCCTGGACACTGTTAAACCATTAATTCACTTAAAGGCTCAAGTGCGAGGCCTGAGCTTCGGGAGCCGAGGTTGGCTAGAGTCTGCGAAGTCTCATCTCTAATATAGCCTTCCGGAGGTGAAGTGGACTGACCATGGACACCACCAGATCTGGCCCCCTTCCAGATTGGAGGGTGCTACCTGTGCCCTTCCAAGTCATTTGTTATCCACAAGTAACTTAAGTCAGTGCTTTGTCACCTTGGAGTCACACTGGGGTCACCTGGGGAGATTTTGAAGTCTGATGCCTGATTCCCACTCGCAGAGGCCCTGATGAAATCGGTTTCCAAAATCTCCCCAATTGGTATTGATTCTAACAAGCTGCCAGGGTTGAGACCCGCTGAGTTAAGTCACCACTCATTCGTAGCCCACATGAGAACAAAAGGATCAGGGGGTGCGAATTAAGGTAGCGCTGCCAAATATTGGGTCTTCTTGGGTCAATGTCCCGAGCCTCAGTTTCTTTATCTGTACAATGGGTAGTGGTTAAGACCTCAAATCCCCCTCCAGCTCGAATAGTTTTCATCTGGGACGCGGATCGGCACCTCCGGGATCCTAGAACCCAGCTCCCCTCTCTCCCCATTGCCTTGCTGGCTCTTCCGGTTCCCGCGCCCCTTGCCTCCCGCTCGGGGGTCCCAGAGGAAGCCGAGAGCGTCGCGGGCAGTCTGGGAGTGCCCGCTGCCCCCGATCGGGCCCTCGCTCCGGGCTCACAAAGCCCCCGGCGCTGACGTCAGGGCCCCTCTCGGCGCGGCCGGCCCCCAGTGCAGGCGGAGCCGCGCGGCGCTCCCACCCCGGCCAGCAGCGAGCAAGCCAGCGGCCAGCCCAGCGCAGCCCAGCGCAGCCAGCCCGGAGCCCGGCCCGCGCACGTGCCCGCCAGACCTGCAAACTTGTGCCACCCGCTCTACCCGTCCCCGGGGAGCCCGAGAGCCCGCGGCCCGCGCCCCTCCCGTCTGTCTCCAGCCATGGGTAAGCAAGCTTTCTGGCCTCGCGCCACCGCCACCGCCTCACGCCCCCGCCCCGCCGGGGGTCCCGCCCTACCCCGGTTCAGGTGGCACTTCCTAGCCTCCGTGGTGTCGGGGTGGAAACGGGTGTGGGGGGAATGGAGGCTGCAGGTGGGTGGGGCTTGGCGCAGGTGTCCAGATCGCCCAGGTGTGCCTCCCTGTCCCATCCCGGGGGCGTCCCCACTCCGGGTGCACCCGGGCTGCACCCCTCAGCGTGCGTAGCGCGGGGGGCCAGAGAGCTGGGCCCTCAGCAGGGCTCGCGGAGAGTGCAGACGGCGCGTCCCGGTTTGCAGGCTCCTGCTTTATTTCAAGGGGTTGGTGGAGTACCTTCTTGCCGGTTTCCCGGGACGATCTCCCTGTCGCTAGAGCTCCCAGCTCTGAGTCCAATCATGTCCCGCTCTGCCGTCCTTCTAGTCTCCTTAAACCCACATGAAACACATGCTCTGTTCCCCAAACCCGGGGTCTTCCAAGAGCTCCTTTCGGAAACCAGGGAAGTGGGAGGGGAGGGGAAGGGAGGGGAACCCGGGTGAGTCTCTTCTTTGTCCCCTGTTCCAACTACCTAAATGCGGCTCGGGCGCAGGTGAAGAAGGTGTGAAGCGGGTTCCAAAGCAATTGGGGTAACGACTAGCAACGGTGAAAGACTCGGCTCAGGAGAGTGAAAATCTTCAACCTGGCCCGAGGCGGGTGTTAGGCGACTGTAGGATTCTTTCTGACACTTCTTAACACCCAGAAATGCTGCCGTCAGCAACATGTCGCTAAACCGGGACTCGATCGGAAGGAAAACTCGTGAAGAGTGCCTTGGAAATTAACCTAATTCCGCGGTATTCCTGGAAATGTATGTCTGAGAGCTGTGCTTGGGCAAGGTTTCCTCTCTCTTTCATTATCCTTCCCCAGTGACAGCTCCAGCCACAAGCGCCACAAAGACTGTGGAGCGCCCCTCTGAAGCATTTCTAATGAGGAAGTCTGTGGGTTTAACCTTTGCAGGTTAATGGTGAGGGCTTGGGAATTGCTTGCTGGCCCCCCTCCCACGTTCCTCATCTTCCCCCATCCCCTTACCTCTGCAATGAAGTGGGGGGGATGGGGGGGAAGAGAGGTGGTAATTCTGTATTGATTATAATTTGGGGTGAGGCATAGTAAGGAGGGCACTTATTTTGTTTTTAAAAAGAAGCTCCAAGAATTTTATAGTTTAATTTTAAAAATTTACATTGCTCCAAATATGAAAGTAAGCCTCCTTCCCCCTCCCTGGAAAAAAAAAAATCCGACATGAAATTTTCTTCCCCAAAAGTTAAAGATTAGATCCTTCTAGAAAGGACAAAATGTAGCTCTGGTTCCTTCTTCTTTTAATGCCCCGGTGTGAGTGGTGAGTAGTCCCATCACTCAAGGATCCCTTTTAGATGAGATTCCTTACACAGAAGTAGATGATGGCTATGGCTCACCCTGTGGCTGCATTTGCAGTAGTAGCAGCCAAAGATGTTGCAGTTCTGCAGAAGTACAGATTTGAGTAAAGCACGAATTAGTTGTCTTGAAATAAAGTTATTTTGGTTCTGAACAACCGGCTTTTACATTTGTATGTCGAATTTGAGCATAGAATGACCACATGGGGACCTTCTTCACATGCTTTCACAACACTCTGGACTTAATTGGGGCTGGGCTTTATTTTTCAATAGGTGTGGAAGGTAGATGAAATTCTCACGAAGCCAGTGTCCAAGCCAAAGGCCTGTTCTCAAGGAAGTACTTTGTGTCTTGGACAATTATTGGTTCTACACTTCAATCGCCAATTTATGTTAATTTGTGCATACTTCACTGGTTTTGGCAGTATCCTTGGTTTTTAGTTTTTAGTTTTACATTAAAAAGAAAGTTCCTTTCAAGCCAGAAAGGAAACATACTGATTTCCTTTAGATTCTTAGTAAATACACTACAGGGCCATGAACTGGTTTTATTTTTCCAGATGTATTTAATTACTGAACATACCCTTCGGAATGTTTTAACTGAAATGATTTAATGTTGGGAAAATCCTGAACATGGGTCCATTGAATTGGTTCTTATACAAGTCACTTCCTTAGCCTGGTATGAATTGATCCACTGAGTAAAATGGATGAGGCTTCTGGAAATAAAAGTGTCTCTGGAATCACATTTTAAGGTATTTGAAAATCTTTAAGTAGAAAAATAAAATAATGAACAGTAGTCTGTGTACAGTTCTCTCTCCATGTATCTTAAAACATGCGTTTTCAAAATTGTTGAGACAATGATTTTCCCCTGGCTTTCTTTAGCTATAATTCACATACAGTTCGCACATTCAAGTCTCCCAGTCAGTGGGTTTGAATGTATTCAGAGTTGTGCAACTATTTCCACTATCTAATATGAGAACATTTTCATCACCCCCAAAAGAAACCTTGTACCCATTAGTAGTCACTCCTCATTCTCCCCTCCCCCAGCCCTTAGCAACCACTAACCTACTTTCCATCTCTATGGATTTGCCTCTTCTGGATGGTTCATGTAAATGGAATGAACCAATTAATGTTTCAAGTATGTTTGACTACTCGGTAACTTTGGTTGTTTTACACAATGAGAAGATGTTGATGTATTGTTTGTATGTAATACACAACCTAAATGAGTGTGTTGAAACTATCTGGCTGAAGGGTTCCACATATCCCCCAACCTGCCTTCTCCCCACCAGTGTTAACTCTGGTTTTATCTGACAGAAACTCATTTAGGCCAACAGAATTTTGATAGTGTTACTCTGTTCACAGGCCTACAGACATAGTAACTAAATCGATTCAATGCAGTAACTTCTTAGAAGGCATTTGTAGAATAGCCCTGATGCTTCCATATGGCTCATATATTCAGAGAGAAATGCTGATTTTGTTTCATTAGCTGCCCATAATTTTAAATTGAAAATTGCATATAAAATGATCAGATACAGAAAACATCAAAATAATTGTTTTGACTCCTTTTGTAGTAAGGAAGATTTTTTTTTTTTTCAAGATGGGTCTCACTCTGTTCCCCAGGCTGTTCTTGAAACTCTTGACCAAAAGCCATCCTCCTGCCTCAGCCTCCTGAGTAGCTGGAACTACAGGCCTGGGCTACCAAGGAAAGAAAGTTTTTGTAAGGATTACAAACCTAGCCTAGAAATTTGGATGAAAAAAGTGCCTGATTCAGTAAGCCTAGGCAGGGCCTGTGTTTTTACATTTCTTTGTTTCTTCTTTCTTTTCTTTCTTTTTATTTTCCCCTTTTTTTTTCTTTTGGTACTGGGGATTGAACCCAGGAGTGGTTTACCATGGAGCTATATCCCCAGCCCTTTTTATTTTATTTTTATTTTTAAATTTTGAAACAGGGTCTTGCCAAGTTGCTAAGAATCTCTCCAAATTGTTGGGGCTGGCCTCTACCTTTTGATCCTCTTGCCTCAGCCTCTAGGATTACAGGTTTTAGCCACCCACCCAGTGGTGTGGTTTCTGCAGTTCATAAAAGCTCTCAGGTGTGCCTGACACTGGAGCCAGGAAAGAGGGAAAAGCCTGGCAGGCCAGGGAAGCTTGGTGCCTGCCCCAGCTTACCCCCTAATTTGCTGTGTGTTCCTGGGTGAATCATTTTTTTTTCTTAACCCTAGTTTACTCTAAAATAAAAAAGATCCTGTGAAATTACTTCTTTGCACCCTTGCAAATCTACAAGTGTGTAATTTAGGAAAAAGAAATAAGAGAGTAATATTATGCTTGAAAAACATGGGCAAACAGCCTCCTAATTGTTTAAACACTATTCGGTTCCCTGAAGCCAGTATTACAAGCATCATTTTGTAGTTGGGTTAAATGCTGGCATTTTCCATGTGCCCGCCCACAGGATGGTGGGCTCTTCTCCAAGGAAACTGGTGGAGGAAGCCATAATGTGTACCCTCTTTAACACTTCCAGCTTTGGCTTCTGCCCTCTTCTCTTGAGAGCTGTCTGTACCAGAAGGTCCTTCCTCACCCCACACGCAGGTCTGTGCTCCAAAAGGAGTACTGCAGATGCATATGTGCAAGGCTTGATTCTAGAAATTTGCTCCGGAATTCAGATGCAGTTGGAAACAAAGGAATGGTCTCCCAATGAGTAAGGGCAGGATGTGCTAGCTGGCCTCCCTCTGAGTGCAAAGGTCTAATAAAGAGCCCACCCCTGATGGTCTTGGAGAGTGTTCTTTCAAATCAGGGGGGCAGGCTGAAATTGTGAGTAAATCTCACAGTCCAATACCACAAAGTCCTGTTTGTCACAAACAGGAAATAATTAATTCTTTCCTTTATTTTTTTCTCTAGCAAAAGCTCTTGTCCAAACCACTTGGCCCCTCCAAGGGCTTCCTAGAGGAGATGCTTCTCATCTTCTGCACTGGGAATCAAGGAATTGAATGGTTTAATGAAAATGCTAAAGCGGTGAATCATAGAAGAGCCATATATATGTCCTAAACATTTGATTTAACTTGAAACAGTCATTTGCTGACAGTTTGTTGTTGAGCCCTTGCTTTGAGTGTGACATCCTGATTGAAGTTCCTTGGTTTTTCTTAGATAAATCATAGCCCAGTTCATTGGCTTCTGATTTCCAGATTCAGATTCTTTTAAGGTAGAATGAGAACATAAAGGCATTGAGAATTGATCTGTGTGCAGACACTTTATATTACCTACCCCAGTCCCCTTAAACGTTTATAATTGTCTTGCCCATAATTATTTTGGCAAAGACTTTCCAAAGCAATGAACATGATTTTCTTTTTTCTTTTTAATATTTATTTTTTAGTTGGAGGTGGACACAATATCTTTATTTTATTTTTATGTGGTGCTGAGGATCGAACCCAGTGCCTCACGCGTGCTAGGTGAGCACTCTACCACTGAGCCACAACCCCAGCCCGAACATGATTTTCAAAAAAAGAAGAACTTTGTTTTGGCACTCATTTTATTTATGTAATATTGAATAAAATTTCATTATTATGATACAAATAAACTGGCCTGAACAGGTTTGGGGATGAACACAAGGGATTCTTCTTGAGAACATGATTCAGCTGGTGGGAGCACTACACAGACATCCTGGAGAAGAGTTTAGAACCCAAGTTCTGTGGACTGTGGTCAGTATGGTTTAGGGGAAAAAAAAAAAAAAAAAAGCAGATACAGGGTAATTGGGCATGATACCTTAGGTGAATTATAGGTAAGAGAGCTTCTACTGGATTTTTGAGCCATTGTCATCCATTTAATAAATTTACCATGATTTTTCTGATTATGATTATTTGGCTTGTGTTTTTAAAATGCCTTCCTTTTGGTTCAAATACCAAATTCATCAAGTGCAGAGATTGTTTTATTCATCATTATATCCCAGTGTTCATTCAAATGATCTGCATATTGTAGGTGATTCATAGACATTTGTTGAAAAAGCATGGATTTTGTCATATCAAATGCATTTTGTTAAGATCTCTCTATCTTATAAATGTATTGATTGTAAGGTATATAAAATTATGCTTTTCTATGTATTAATTGTATGATAAACTAAAGTAAATGAAATAAGGTAGAAGACATTGTTGTTCTTGAATAATATTAATACTTTTATCACAGAATTTCACAGAATAACAGAATTTCAGCACTTGAAGTCACTTTAAAAGTAATTTGATGGCTTCGGGCATACGCAGACCCGAAAACAATTTAAAGAGCAGCTTGAATGTTCTTCCATTACTTTTTATGCCTTTAGCTTTTCTTCTTCTGATGTTATAAAGTATTTTCCTCCCTCTGGTGCATAGTACTTTCTTCTTGTCAGATTTTTAAAGTTAGGGAAATCGTGGGGAGAAACACTTTGCTTAAATGGAACTCATTTTTGCCCTGGGGATTAAAAGGAAACAGAAAGGGCTGGGGATGTGGCTCTGCGGTAGAGCACTTGCCTGGCATGAGCAAGGGCCTGGGTTCCATCCTC